AAGTTGCACAATTACTTCTTCAATGCTACAAGAGAGTCACATACCAACTACTCATCAGTGGTATACCTATTCGAGGCAACATAACCTCTTTCCCCTACCCCAAGAGGCCTTGGACGGGGGATCCCTTGTTCACTTATCCATTTATTATCTGCACAAAACTTCTCTCTCTAATTCTCACTAAAGCATGATTAGAGTAGCACATTATTGGCCTTCGAATCAACCCCCAAATTTTGTCTATAACCGATTTACTCATTACGGATGATCTCTTATTATTTGGTCAAGTTATTGAAGTTAATCTAAAATCCTATCTTCACTTATTACAACCCTAGACCTTAATTCTAACCTTTCTTAGAATCATAAACATAGGCTACTTCGTGCTACTCACTCAAGTCCATTACCAACTAATAGTAAATATTTATGACTCCTAATAATAGTAAACCATAAAGCTACTAAAATTTTTTTTTTTATCGATAAACTTCAAATCAAACTAGAAATCTCGAAAAAATTAATTTATCTTATGCAGGTTGAGCGGTACCGGTTCAATCAATCCTTATTGCACAACCCACGTATCTTATGTCTATTCTCAGAATTCCTTTAACCTTTTATAATAAACTTACTCATCATTCGAAAGTTTTGACAGGGAATTCCACAAACCCAATAATAAAGTTGTATTCCTATCATATAAGAGACTTTAGCTCAACTCAAACCCAAATGAGGCATTAACTTTAATAATTTACCTGAATTCAACCTAGCTCTTTTAGTTAAACTAGCTCTGACCTACTTTAACCAACCACTAAGCTTTGAACCTAACTCAAGAAAGCAAAATATTTAAAAGACTTTTTTAATATTTCATATTGTTTTATAATCAAGAAGTTCACTTATTTTAGAAAAACATTATAGTTAGCCTAGAATTACTAACATTAGGGGCGTATGGAACCTTTATATAAACTTCAAGGTTCACACACTTGGATAGACCCATGGCTGCCTTCCTTTCCCTCTCTCACTTCACCTATTCTTAGAAATCCTCACTTCACTAGTGTTAATCAGTTTCGTGTCTCACCACCCATATATGGAACTTGCTCTTGTTATATCAACAACTTTCTCATCCAATGGCTTATCAAATCTAGTTATTCATTAACCTCTCCTATACCTCTTCATCAAGTTAGTAATGGAAGTTTACTTCCAACTCAAAGTACATCGTACAATTAGTTTATAAACTTTCAAAAACTAATACTAACTAACAATTACCATGCCACCTTCTCACATTGGAATCTACTATGAGAGACACATATCCTTCCCATACACAAATTCATGCGGTGGTGTATACTCTATACCAAGGTTTGTTTTATTCTAATCACCCTTCTATTATTTTATCATCCAAGCTTTTTAGCCAACAAAATGCAAATTCAACACAACATATGTTCTTGGAACGCATTTTAAGGAGACCATTATTATACGCCTCACCATAGGGCATTCAAATAGAGTATATGTATGTCTACACAATAGAAGACTAGCTAACTTATTTACTGCTACAACAAGAGAAAGCTAGTTCTTATGCTCAGCTACGTAAGGAGGTTTTGCTCTATAGTTTTATCGTGATGGATTCACTATACTTTTGGCATAATTAGAGCAAGTATTCATCACAAAGCCTATAGTCTATATGGTGTTCACAGAAATTAGTGCAATGTTCATCCATCAATAAAAAATCTGACACAAAAGCTAAGATCACTAATGCAACATGCAAGAGAGTTCAATATTCACAACAATATAAGAACGGAACAACTCTTGCTTGTGCATCTAGAAAGGATAATGACTAACATAGTTTCTTAATATACATCTTTCAAAAATAAAAAATAAAAATAAAAGAAGAAAAATAAATGGATAAGTAATAATTCTTTATGAATATAATATACATATACTTTATAGAGATATAAGTAAGTAAATAAAAAAAATTATTGATTTTCTTAAGCAATGGTATTTTTTATATGCAAAGAACAAGACAACTAATTAATAATATGTATAGAGTTGAGAAAAAATCTTAAATTGAGTATAAATTAACTTATACGAATTTTATTATATGTTTATTAGAAAGTATATATTATCTAACATATTTTTTCATATGCTTACTAGAAAGTGCATAGCATATAAAACATCTAAATTTACAATGAGTATACATGCTACCTCAAAGTGGCCAAATTCCATAATGTGTCGCATCTTTCTACCTTGGTTTATTTGTTTCAATTGGTAAGATACATGATTAGCTAATTAATATAAGTTTCCAAGTCCAAGAGAAACCATCCACTTCACAAGCAATTAACAACAAAATATTATGTAACAACTCAGAAAAGGAAAGAAAAAAAGTTAAAACGACGCCGTTTTGAATTCAAAAAAAAAAAGAGGCCAGAGGCGTGTTTGCCTTTGGTCAGGGAAGATGAGATGGAAGAGGCATGTACACCTCTTCTCTCTGACAAAGAATAAGGGGAGGAATCTTCCACATCAGACGGACAGAGACATGCAAGACTCCTCTTGTTTCTCCCTACAAAAGGGAGAGTTACGTGGAAGAGAGAGAGAGAGAGAGAGAGAGAGAGAGAGAGAGTGGTGCAAAGAGAGAGAAATAAATCTCTCTAGAGAAAAAAAGAGAGAGAAAAAAAAGGGAGTTACAGCTACCACTTACCTGCATGAGGTAGTCCGAGATGGGTACGACTTTCTTCACGACAAGCAAAAGAGTCGAGACGACCCTATAACCTACACGATTGGAAACCCGAAGGAGAATCACGTGACGACTTGCATCCGAAGAAAAAGGAGATCTGTAATGGTTGGCCCCGTGATTCTGCATATCCTTGTCTCTTTTCAACACGATTTTGCCATATACACGCCAGATCTGTGTGCATGAAACATTTCGTGGTGAATTGCGGTCGATTCACAGTGATCTGTGGTGGCGCACAGTGGTTCGGTGGCGGCGCTCCGATAGCAGCACATTATGAACTAGGGACATGTGTGTGGTGGTGCGTGGCAATTTTGGTGACCGGGATCGCGTGTCTATGGTAAAATTTTGATTTGCTTTTGTATTCTAATTATTTCCACAAGTATACGTCATTTAACTCACACGTTTTCTATTCGTAAATGAAAGAGTTATCTAAATAATACTGAATTTAAAGGAGAGCATAGACTTGAGTCAATAAGGATTCCAACACTTTTCAATCAGACTTTAGGTAAGGGATTGGGTTAGTCTCATTCAGAGGCCCCCATGTTTTTTATGAAATCTTGTTTTCTGTTAAAATGAATTGTTTACAGACTTTACAAACTATTTAAGTTTTCTACCACGAGTTCTGCGAACTTATCATATATGTGTGTGTGCAATTGCATATGATTGGAGACCTACATGGTGTTGTGTATAACATAGAGTTATGTATTCATATTATTACTTGTATGTATATGCAGATTTTATACATGCTAATTATCGAGTTATAGTTGTGTGTGACGCATATATCTATATATATAATTAAAGGTTGTGTAACGTACGTATGTATGAGTGAACAACTTATATGTGCTTGCTTATAGAATACACATATGCCTTGTGTGAATATTAAAGTATATTCATGTTGTATGTGTTGCGTGTACATATATATTTATT